ATTCCTGCCCTCCAGGGTGTTGACTGCACCACACAGCTTGTTGCTGGCAAACTTGCTGAGGGTGCACTCAATCCTGCTGTCCATGTCCATGTACTTTGAAATCTTCACAGAGCAGGTGGTGTGATTGCAAAAGGTGCTTTCCTCTTTACTTCTCTGGCCCTGCCAATGTCCTTTTTGAACTGAAAGTGATGCTGTCAAGTTTAAGTGTTGTGGCCTGAGTTTTATGTAGTTGCAAATGCTGTCTTGGATCAGCTTTAATAGTTTCTTTGAAGTTGATCCTGCCAGCACTGGATGGCTAAAACAAAAGCATTTTGCTCACACAATACAGGTCCTAAAATGGAGCGTGTTGGGTTAATATATTTGACAGAAGAGCCCTTAAGGCTGTGTGTTTGCTCTCAAAACAGAACATGAGACACCCACCAGCTTTTCAATGTGTGTATGTACGTACTCTTAGAAGTTCAACAATAAGCCTTTAAAATGCAGCTGGAATTAAAATGTTCACGAAAAAATGCATTCAGATGTGAATTGAATCCTGACCAAATTAGGGAAAAGGCCAGAAGGGAATCAAAATGGTTGAGCTGGTTTAGCTTTCATTCTTGCTATATGTTGATGCATTCCTCTAATCTTACCTGCCAATGTCAATACTCAGGAGTAAATCACGGCATTCTTGTGTTTACCTGTCAGCCAAGTCTTTTGAATCCCAAAGTTCAGGAGAGTGAGCCTTCTAGGGCATTAAGTTTTGCTGGGCTCGGTTTTCTTTTTCTGTAGGTTACCAATTGCAGTCTTAACTGTTAGGAGTCCTTGAACTTTCATGTTCTTTCCAGCATGGAGCATGTGCATTGGGAAGAGGAGGAGGCATTAATATATTCCTATACCTTATTTCCGAGACAGTATAACCCTTGTTTGAAGAGCTTTTTACTAAATACATAAGGTCTCCTTGGCTAAGATTTTCAGTGGTGAAGCTTGTTTTGTACTTTCCAATCAAGGGAGATCATGTTTGTGTTATAACTTCCACATGGTGCATCACGTTTTAATAAATCATGGCTAAGAAAATTTTTTGCTCACTTTCCAAAAATGTTTTGCGTAGGGAGGGTGAAAGAGTTGTCTTTATATTCTCAACTTGATTACACTTTGAACTAGTGGTGAACACAATAAGGAAATGTTTCTACAGGAACCTTGATGAAACCATTTGTTCTCTGTGTGCACTCGAGGATGTACGAACTAAGTACCTTAAGTCTGCAAAGAGACATTGTTGTCCTGCATCTAGCAGTTATGGTCCCTGAGCCTTGTTTTTATTTTTATAAAGCATTGTTGTGGGTTTTTTTCATCAGTCAGTGATAAGTGTTGATGGGTGGTTGTGCTCGAAACTGGCAGCTTGAATCTCTGTGGGTTTTATAAATTATTTTTGAGCTATAGCATTTGCCATCTCTGTCTTGTGCAGCATAACAGTATCTTCAAAGGCACAGGAGTCCCACACCTGCCTCTGCGTTCTCTTGACGTGCAGATGCTCAAATCCTGGAACATGCCTTGGAGCCAGATACTCCAATTTTATCCAGACACACCCTGCTAATTAAGCAGTGTTGTGACCTTCCTAGTAATTTAGTGTGCAAGCTTTGATTTCCCTCTTCCCTCCCAAACCCCATATTTGGATTTAAGTTTATGAGCTGTGGGGTAAGAGTGCGTTAACTCTTTGTGTTCTGGAGGAGATGATATGGCCCAAACCTCAAATGTCTCCTTAGACAAGAATTTGGGTGAAAGAAGTATTTAAAACTCTGGTGAATAGCTTTTTATCGGTTTCTAGGGGTCCAGAAGACACCTGTTTCGAGTATGGGGTATTCCCTGCTGTTCTGAGCTTCCCACTCGACTACCCGTTAAGTCCTCCGAAGATGAGGTTCACGTGTGAGATGTTCCATCCAAACAGTAAGTCTGATGCAGCAGGATGTGTGGGGAAGTAGGTTGTTTGTGCACCTTAAAACCAAACTTTTGCAGCAGGAGGGCTGGCATCCTTACCAAGGGTGATTCTGTTTAGCAGTATTTCTGATGGTATCCTTCTGAAATACAGAGTGCTCTGTTCAAGCAGATGACACATTTGCAGGTATTTAATATTAAGGCTTTGCTGGCCTTTTATCTGCAATTCTGATGGAAACAAGATTATCTTAAGACTTTTCAGTGGAAGTAATTGAAGGGGCTGAATGTGTATTCTAGGCTATTAGGTTCTGCCACTTGAGAGTAATAAAACAAAAATGCTGCCTTCCTGCCTGGTGTTTCCTTCCCAGCTGACATTCCTGCACTTGCATAACACAGACCTTAATCTCAGCTGGAAATTAATTTATTTCATCCTATTCCAAGGAATTTTGCAATTTTTTGAAGTTCTATTCTTCCCTCCTCAAAGTACCACTGATAAAGATCCTTGTCCATTTAGTCCACATCTTTCTGTTCTGTGAAAGACACAGCTGCATATCACAGTGTAGAACTGTGTGGACATGCCCAAGGCAGTATAGCATCACCTTTGAAGCAGTGCAGAGTTTGGCACCTGGAAGCAGTGTGGTCGCATTGGCACCTTGCTCCAGCTGGACTCATTCACCCAAACTTTTTGGCAGGACTGGTCTCCGTGGGAAAATCTGTGTCCACACAATACTTTGTAGCTCCAATTTTGGCCTTGGCTTGAGGTTCGCTGCTGGCAGCTGCTTTGTGCGCAGCATGGCAGGGAGAAGTGGGGTGTGGAGAGGCACACACTGACTGACTCTCATGTGTTATATGTGAGCGCTTCCTCTGGGATTTACTGGAATATACTGGATGGTCATCTTAGCTCTTTAAAATCTAGTGGTTCTGTGTCATGCTCATCTAAAATTGAGATCACCTAAAGTAGACTCTAGAATTGTGCTTCTCAGGTGGGGTTGTGATGGTCTGGTTCTACCCAGACAGGCTGTAGAAACTGAGTGGCTGTGCAGTGCTTTCTCTGTTCCTTAAGTGCTTACTTGTGTAAGCACCTTACTTGTGCTCCACCTGTGAGGAATTGCAAGGAAAATGTTTTAGAAGTCTGCTGTGTTCCCTTACCTTTGTAGTTTGTGTTATGTACATGGGGAACTAAGACACCACAGAACTAACTTCTCTTAAAATATGTTCATGGATGCTCTGGTGAAGATAACTTCAAGTAGTAATTAATGGCAAGTCTTGCACGAGTGTTCAGTGACAAAGTGGGAAGATAAGTACAGCTTTTGCTGCCTTGACTGTGCTGCTATGGTCCAGCTGTTTTAAATGAGGCTCTGCATAAAAACATTAGAGTAACTTACAAGTGAAATACCTTCTACCAGTGTGTTCTTAACTTGCAAGGAGAAGTGCTGATTCAGCACGTGCTGTTTTCACCTCTTCCAGCTATGGCTAGACCCGCTCCAGTGACCAGCCTGGGACTGCAGGAGGGGATGTAAATAAAAGTTTTCCAAAGTGCTTACGTGTTGCAGGCTTGTGCAGACATTAGCTGAGTGAATGGAAAGAACTGAAAATGAGCATAACTGCTTCCAGCAGTTATTCCCTCTTTTTGTTTTGTCTTGTTTTCCTGGCAGTGGCACAGGTTGGTCACCCGAGGAATGGAAGCACTGGAAGTACTGGGCTGAAGTTGTCCTTCCCTGGGTGGCTGCAGCTTTAGACCATGTTGCTAAAACAGTGTTTCAAACTCCATTCTCTCTGTGTTGCCTCTTCGAGCTTTTTTTGGCCTCATTATCAAGTCAGTGGAGTCCAGTGTCTGAGAAGATGACTTGTACTGTGCAGATGCTTTGCTTAACGCTAAAGGTGGGAGGGGAAGATGGCTGTATCCTTAATTGATAGGTTACCTTGTTTCCAGGCAATTTAATCCAGCTGAGCTTTAAGCAAAATTAAAAGCAGTAGTCTGAGCTATTCTGGTTGCACCTCCATAATGTTCAAAATAGTATCAATTATATTGCTTATAACATACCAGTTTTCCCTTCTTGCTGCAGCAGAGCAGGTTTGCTTAATTCTTTTTACAGTCACAGTCTAGTGGAGGACTCCAACATGCCTTCAGTGCTGTGTGACTGTTACCCATTGATTCAAAGAGGACTGGCTACCTACTTCGAACTCTGTCTATGCGTAAATACTTGCCTTGTTCCACCAGGCTGCATCTCTTATTTTTTCCATGGATCCTGTCACTGGTTATTAAATGAGAGAAGTGCTCCCAGCAGGCTTCTGCTGAGGCAGGATGACTCAAGTTTGACAGATTTGCTTAAAGGAGATTTTTTTCTAGATTTCTTTCAGATTTTGTGTCCTCTTGCCTTTGGAAGAAGCTTAACTTCAGTCGTATGAAGGCCAAGTCCAAATACTAATCTCTGCTAAAGGCCAAGTATTTCCACTGAGTAACAATCAATCCCCTGTACTTCTTGTGCAGTTTACCCAGATGGGAGAGTTTGCATCTCTATTCTTCATGCTCCTGGGGATGATCCTATGGGATATGAAAGCAGCGCTGAGCGGTGGAGTCCCGTGCAGAGTGTGGAAAAGATCCTCTTGTCAGTTGTTAGCATGCTGGCAGGTAAGGACTGCTGTTTGATTAGCAGTAGCTCAGATAGCAGTGACTGAGTTAGCTAGAGCTGCTTCTTGCTGTTTGATTTTTTTAAGTGAGCAAAGGACATTTAAAGCTGCTCAGCAGCAACTAAGCAGATGGTGATGGTCCAGTGGGTCCAGAGGCTCCCCTGGTTGCCTGCTCCTGCACAAAACCTGGGCTTCATCTTTGTATTTGCCTGTGATATCCATTCAGCTCCTGCAGGTTGTAGAGGTATTGATTACAGCCTGTGTCGGATTTGGCTTTAGTAGCTGGCTAAGCCAGATCTAACCAGTATGTTGAACTGGCGTCCATGGGAGATTAGCAAGCCAGCATCCTCATTTCTGTTCGTTATTTTTAATGTACCCCATTCTGCCGTCTGTGGTTCAGAGGAGGGCTTCTTGAGAAGACGAGTGGGTTGAAAAACTTCCTGTACAGCCTTTTAAATGGCTTTCCCTAAATCCAGCAAGGGCTGTGGGTCAGCTCTGTTATGTACAGTTCCCTGAAAGATGTATCCATTTCCACATAGTGGACAGAGCCAATGAACTGCCTGAAAAGAACAGAGATGTGTCCCTCAGAATCAGTTTTGAATGATAAAAAAGATTTTAGACAGGTTAGAGGGTTTAGAAGCAGCAGAGTTGATCAAAGGGCAAGCACAGATTCTTACCTGAGACTGTTTTAGCTTCAGAACAGTAACCTACTGTTGGGAAGCAGTGCAGACAAAGCACCTCACTGGGCTTCCCATGGCCTCCAAGAACTTGGTTTGTGGTGCAGCCTTGCCTAGACTGGTTAGCATAGGATTTACCTGGTCTTACCTGTGTGTCCTGTTTTCCCATGCCTTTCAGAGGAGTTAGTCTAAAACATCAATGGTCAGCTTCTTTCAGGCTGCTGGCAAAGCCTCAGCTCTGGCTCTGCAGATAGCATTACATCCAAGCTTACCAAACTGGTGACCTGCACATCTATTGTCTTTTAAGGGCAGGCCATCAGCATTGTCCACTGTGTCTCTTAACTGTGGCAGTGGTGAGGCACTGGCACAAGTTGCCCAGAGAAGCTGTGGCTGCCCCATCCCTGGCAGTGTTCAAGGCCAGATTGGACACAAGGGCTTGGAGCAACCTGGTCTAGTGGAAGGTGTCCCTTCCAACGCAAACCAGTCTGGGATTCCGTGATTGAATTGGGAAAGATAAGAGCCAAAGATGTCTGCTAAGAACTAGGTTGGGGTGGATTTGGACTAGTATGTGAAGCAAAGTGGGTAGAGCATGTTCCGTCTTAGTGATTCGTGTAATCCTGTCAACAGTTGTCCCACTGTATGCTGACCATTAGCTTGATGAATCCCTTGTTGCAGCTTACCTCTGTACAAAATTAAGTATTGGAGTCATGGGGATTTAATGTATTTTGTAAAATGCCTTGAAATCCTCGGATGAAAGATGTTGCAGAAATGAAAGCATTCTATGGGTTTTCTTGGTCTGTTTTGTTGTTTTTTTAATAGAACAAGCTATTCCAAAGCGTGACGGAGCCTGTTTGGGTGGCCTGGTCGGGAGGGCTTTGTGTCTGTGAAGCTGCAAAACCAGAAAGAGATTTTGCAGGGAGCAGCATGCAGTTTCACGCCCCCTTGATAGCACTGGTGATGCCTCATTTTGGTATTCCATGTGCATGCTGGGGCTCAGCTGCTGAGAGCATAAACTAAAGAAAATAATTGCTCCTCTGCCCCTTGTGTCTACCTAAACTTGTCCTTGCTGTGATACTCTCTTGTGATCAGTTCAATCAGAACCATTTGGGAATGCAGCGGCTGTCAGTGTATTTTCTTTTTAATGGTGTTTTTGTAGTCCCAAGCAGGGAAGCATGTCAGAGCCATGGGGAAGCGGCAGTACAGAGACACTGAAAAAGCAAGAGGGTCTTGCTCCATTGCCTGCCTGTCCACCTATCTTTCAGTCTTTCTCGTTTCAGAGCCAAATGATGAAAGTGGAGCCAATGTAGATGCCTCCAAGATGTGGCGGGAAGACCGAGAACAATTTAACAAAATTGCCAAGCAGATTGTGCAGAAGTCACTTGGACTTTAAGCTCACAGAGAGACTGAAGTGTTTTGTATTCCTCTACACCTGAAAATGAGCAGTGCTCAGTGCTGGTACCAAAAAGGAAAACTTTACAAAACTGCAGTGCTCAGTGCTGGTACCAAAAAGGAAAACTTTACAAAACTATTGGCCTAATTCTTCTTACCATTTGTTATTTATTTACCATCTCTTTTCTTCTTCCACTGCTCCAGAGAAGCCTTTAGTTCACTCACTACGTTGTGTGGAAAAGGAATTTAATACTAGGGGAAAATACAGAGACAATGCTATTTCAAAGGCTGCTTGTTGCTACCTCACTTTATGATATCAAAAGCTTGGAGACTTTGCAATCTGCAGCCCACCTTTGCCAACCTGCTGTTTGAGAACAGTGCTGGTTTGAATCACTTGCTGGAAGAATTAGTTGTATGTTTTTATAGGTAGCATTGCATCTGGAGCACCAGTAGACAGGAAATAATCTATCAATTTTATGATACTTATTAAGGACAGCATTTGCAGTCAGAACTTATATGAAGAGTATAGTTAGCAAGAGAGGCTATAAAACAAGGTTATAGTCAGGGTGCATTTGGAAAGAAAGTGACTGTGCAGCATGTAACTATAAAAGAAGATCTAGGGAGTTGTCAGCAACTGGCTGGGGGTCCCATGTAACACTGTGAGTTTGTACTGAGTCTTTGAGTCAGTGTTTGCTTGGAAGAAATCCCAAGAGCTGCTTTATTACTCCTTAAAGACAGTCAGTTGTAAACTTTACATTCAATTAGAAGTGCAAGATGTAAAGTCTGGATTCTTAAACACTTTAGTCAGGTTCACCATGGGCAAGGTAGATCATTGGCAGTCTGAAAATCCAGTGAGAATGTGTCTGCTCCGCTGGGCATATAATAATATCTGCAATAACGTCAGCTCCTCTTCTGTTGACATTTGGGTGTTGAGAGGATTAGGCACTGCTGGCCTTTGCCGTTACAGCCCAAGTCACCTGTTCTTAAGTTGAATGAAGATGAATGTGATGAATTTTGTAAAAATTAACTGTAATACTACTTTTATGCTGCCTGCAATTGTGTATTTAAATATGAGTCAGAGAAGACACTGACTGTGTTTGCTAGAGGATGGTGGATGCAGGTTTTGAACTGCAGAATATTGTAGGTGACCAGTGGTGTGGAGCATGCAGCAAAAACCCAGCTGCAAGGACCAGTTTGTAAAGCTGCTTAGAGGCCACTGTAACTTTTGTGCTTTGCAAGTGAATTTCTTACCTAGATCCAAATCTCTAGTTTACTACAAGCAATAACACACCCATTGATATGTATGACATGGAAGGAGTCACACCATGGAGAGGGCTTTACAGAGGCAGTTGTGCGCTTGCGCCTGTGTGCAACTTGTCAGTATTTATGCCTTGCAGTCTGTGCTGCATGTTCACATGCTGCAGATCGCAGTATGCCATCGTTCTGCACCTCTGGAGTTTGTATTGCCACAACTTGCTGATTTTACTTCCGTGTAGAAGTAATTTTTCTTGCTTTGATGTAAGGGTGGGAGGGGGACCTGACATAGTTTGGGAGCAGAGATGACAAAATAGTGTTGTACCTAACTAGTATTTCAAGGTATACAGGAAAATGTAGCGCTTCTATGCAAACTGGGAGCATTGTTTGACTTGTAGTAGATGGAGCGTTGCTCCTGGGAGTACTGCAGCTGCTTTTGGAAATGATGCTGGAGGGCTGTGAGCACCACACAGCAAACGATGGGTTCAACAGACATAGCAAACGATGGGTTCAACAGACATGGCAAACGTGGGCTTTCTTAACTGCAGAGTATTCTATTCATGTGTGCTCTCTCATTATTTTATGGTCGGATTTAGTCTGTGTACTGAAAATAAAGTGATTATATTTTCTCCTTTCATAGATGTATGCAAATATATTGCAGTGGGTGTTTTATATGTTTCGTTCTAATGCAGTTGAAAACACAGGGGATGGTTTAGAGGAGTGAAAGAGTTGACATAGTGGCTTGGGCTTTCCAGGGCAAGTGTCTTGTCTCTTCTGATGGCAATGACTTGATAATTCAAAGAAAACTATAAAATCCTGACAGCTGGCAGATGTGTTGCAATTTTCATTTTCAAAGAACTTGTAATGATCCACGTGTCTGGTCTAGGAAGGTCTGGTTATGGCAACAGGTGAATCGTGAAATATAGTATATCATTCAGAATTTGCTGATACCTGCTGTCACATTCAAGGACAAATGTCAATTCCTCCTGAGAATATCCATAGCCCCAAACCTCTGCTGCTTAGAAATAATTTCTTTTTCAGTGACTGGCATGCAGCGGGCTTGGTAACTCAGGTGTTTTAAGCCACCCAGTCAGGCAGTCTTGCAGGTGACAAAAGGTAAGCAGAAGTCCACCTTAGAGGTCTAAAACTTGCCTTGTTGAGGTGAGAATTGTCCTGAGTGATGGCTTTTTGCTTAGCCAGAGCTGGGAGTGGGTGTTTGTGTTCATTGAAAGGCTTAAACATGACACCACAGTCAGTGTGTGAGATTCCCAGTTTGTTTGACTCACAGGACAGAAATAAAGCTTCATCCTCATTATTCCATAATAACCTGAATCCTTGTGCACAGCACAAGGGTTCCTCTCACCTGACTCCATGCCTGTGCTGTGCCCCGAGAGGGTTTCACTGTGCAGGCAGCTTACTACAACTGGGGAACACCTGAGAGCAGTTAAAGCATGTAAGGTGTCGAGCCGTGACTTCTGAAAGGCTTAATCCTCTCCCTCCATGAAAGAGCACTGACGTTGGCAGCCTGTGTAATACTAGCCAGTAGCAATGTTTTTCTGAGCAGTTGCCTTTTTTTCCAGTCTGAAACAGTTACTACAGAACACGTTCCTTGGGGAGTGTCATAGCTCTCAGGTGTTGTACATACAGGTAAAGTATTAAAGATTTCTAAAAATCCCTTCTTCTGGATTATATTTACTTTAGGCTTTTATATTAATAAACCCAAGCCCCTTCAACAAAGCTGAGAAATGCCAGTAGTGTCCTCTTTAAAGCCTTTGTATGTACATACATCCACACAGTTTTTTCCCTTGGCAAACAGGGCTGTGTCAGAACACACACAGCGGGACGCGAGACATTCATTAACTGTGTTTTGTGTGCCTGTGTGCATGCAGGCGGCTCTTTGAAAGCGCGAGCTGCAGGGCGAGAGGCGTTGGAGCCACATGAAACAGCTGCAGCTTCGGGGCAGCGCCAGCCCCAGGCTCCTTTCCAGCTTGCTTTTTGGATGGAGCTGTATCATGAATGGAAGGCAGCATTCTGCCTTCAAGATGAAATGGTGAAAGATCTGGCTGGAAGATCCTTGTTTTCTCCCTGACATGTCTTGGTGAGGATGCCGTGTGCGTTTTACCCCTATGAGAATCAAAACGAGAAACACCACCTCTGCCAGCACAGACTTGTAACGTCCATCCCCAGTGCCAGCTGTGCTGCTGGTTCTGGGATTGTCTCGGATGCGGGATTGGCGCAGCTTCTAGGAGATAGCTCCAGAAAGAGGCAGCAGCTTTGTGGTTACCTCTTGTGTGTTGCTTCTCTCAACTTTCCCTGGCTTGGTGGAAGAAGAAAATCACTTTGTCCTTCCGCAAGGGGTCTGGGAGGAGGAGCGCGAGGTGAGGGATGCTGGGGGTCTTGCTGCCTGTTGGGGGGATGCTTGGGGGTAGCACAGGGAAGGGAAAGGCACAGGAGCCTGGAGAACTCCTGTAGCATTTGAGGGAATGGTTGGGATGTGCTGTCTCAGCAGCAGCTGAACCCCTGTGCCAGCCCCAGAGAGAGCTCCTGGTGTCTCCTCTCATGCAGCCATGTCCTACCTGGTGCCACGTGCATCAAAAGCACTACTGGGGTCACAAATCAGTGGTGCAAGGCTCCCTGGTGCTGCGGGGGTGAATCCCAGCACTGCGGGGGAATTGCTCAAGATTGATGCTTGGTGGTCCTGCTTAATGTGCTCAGTGCTATCCCCTGGGAGCACGGGGTGGCCAGGACGTATCAATGCCTTCCCTATGACTCCTGCCGTGATGATCTTCCTGCCCACCCCAGCCCTGATCTCATGGCTGCCTGCTGGATCCTAGGCCTGCCCCAGCTGCAAGCCCCTCACCCAGATGGGTGGCTCCAAGAGCCAGAGGAGAAGCAACCAGATGGCTTCTGAAAGCAGCTCACACCCCACAAGATGTGACTGAGCAGCTGTTAAGATTATGGGGTATGTAAATATATAATTAATGGTAATGATAGGGACAGCGGGTTATTACAGGGTAGCTGCCAGTGTTAGCAGGACGTGCATGAGCTCTCAGGGAGTGATTTGCCAGTGGGTCTGTCTAGTCATGTCATTGCTGAAGGGTGTGAGGGGAGATGAGCCAAGTCCTGGGCCAAGTCCCCTTCCTCCATGTGTGGGACACCAGCTGGTGCTGCCTTACCAGGGCAGGGCTCTCTGGGGACACTTCGATGCATTCAACGTCAGCAAGTTTGCCAACACCACCAAGCTGTGGACAGGCTGGAGAGCTGGGGCAGTGCAAACCTCACGTAGCTCAACAATGCCAAGTGCAAGGAGCGTGACCAGCAGGTCGAGGGAGGGGATTCTCCCCCTTTAATCCACCTTCGAGAGACTCCCCCTGCAGTCCTGCATCCAGCTCTGGGGACCCAACACAAGAGGGACATGTTGCTGCTCAAGTGAGTCCAGAGGAGGCCACAAAGATGCTGCAAGGACTGGAGCAGCTCTGCTCTGGAGACAGGCTGAGAGAGCTGAGCTTGTTCAGCCTGGAGAAGAGAAGGCGCCAGGGAGACCTTAGAGCAGCTTCCAGTGCCTAGAGGGGCTGATAAGAAATCTGGAGAGGAGCTTTCTACAAGGGTCTGTAGTAACAGGACAAAGGGGAATGGCTTTGAGCTGACAGAGGGGAGATTTAGATTAGATATTAAGAAGAAATTCTTCCCTGTGAGGGTGCTGAGGCGCTGGCACAGGGTGCCCTGAGAAGCTGTGGCTGCCCCATC